GAATAAACAAATTGATATGATCTCCCATACTGTTGACAGAAAAACCAAACAAATTAGTCCATGCACACACTAAGCTACCACACAAAAAAAAGTGAAAATTTTAAAACCACCAAAACAGGCAGAAAAATTCAATCTTTTGAGAAAAATTTCATTTGAAAAATGTCTAATGCTTACCACAAGGTGGTGCTATATTATTAAAACTCTTTTATTATCTCTTCATCTTTACCTCCCACAGTTAATTTGCCAAACTTAAAGTCTTCATTCAGATTTTTAACTCTTTCTTGCTGCAAGTGTTTCCACTATTCGATTGACTATGTATGCTTCTACCCTGTAACATCTTTGAAACCACAGTCCTTTACTATCACACAAGGGGACTTCAAAAAGTTCATGGAAAGATTCATGTTGTCTTTCAATTCTATTTCTCCATGAACTTTCTGAAATATGAGACCAGCTATTGCTGCCAAGTGACCTATTGGAAAATGTGCTCATTAATTCAGTCATTAATTCAATGCCTTACCCTCCACAAACACTCTCTCAATTCTGTCACATACTTGCTGTGTGACTTTGGGCCAGTGACAATCTCTCTGAGCCACAACTACCTCTATATGAAATTGGAGTAACAAATTACTTGAGGGGAAAAAAAATAAATGCAGGGTAACTCTGTAATACTGCTCCATACCCAGAAGGGTTCAGTTCCCATCACCTCACCAAAAAGAAGCAATTGATCTGTCCTTAAACTGGAGAGATCGAGTCACGCACCTCCCTGGACCTTGTATCTTGTCTTATCTGCTATTCTAGTCATCTGTGTCCATATCTTCTTTCTCCTCCACTACTTGTTAGAGTAAGGACTTTTATATCCTGTGTCCCTCACTGCACCTGTCATGGTGCCTGTGCACAGCAGACACTCCAGAATTGTTTCAATTCATTCATTCATGAATTAGTTTGAGGACATTTAAAAAGGAAATGAGAAAAGTACTAAGTCCAAATACGTCTTTTGAATGAAAGAGGTAGCTCAATTAACTCGCCTATTTTATACATACAGAACAGAATTCACATCAACTGAAAGCCTTGAAAATACTCTCCTGAGTTAATCTAGAATAAGTCTTAAAGTTATAATATTATTAGTCATCTTACAATGAATCTAGTATGCAAAGTAAAAGATTACAAAACATGTATCTTGTAGATATTGTTTTTTTACAAGATATTGTTTTTACAAAGTAAATGAAACTGAAGTAATCTTTTTTCTGATTTTCTGTTGGTTTCCAAGAGCCCCTGCATTGCCATTAAACATGTGTTTGTGGCCAAAGTAGAAGGGGAAGGAAGTCTTTGGACTTCATTTTCCTGCTAATGTGGCAAAATTAGTCTCCCGAGGCCTCCTTCTAAACTGTACAATGATCTTCAAACCTTCAACTCTATTCAAGACCTACAATATATCGTTTATTTTTATGCAATTACTTTGGTGATCTTAAAAACTGGATGTCAGATATTTGTGTCTGAAAGAGCTTATAATGCTTAACCTCTATAAATGAGCATATTTGGTATAGAAACTACTATACAATGTTTCATGCTAATATTCAAAAGGATATCAATATCATAACTTTAATATTTTCTATGCTTAAAAGAACACACACAAAGAGCTTGCTAAAACTCCCAAATAAGAAAAATTTATTAGGGCCAGCCCATGGCTCACTTGGGAGAGTGCGGTGCTGATAACACCAAGGCCACGGGTTCGGATCCCTATATAGGGAAGACTGGTTAGTTAGCTCACTTCGGAGAGCATGGTGCTGACAACATCAAGTCAAGGGTTAAGATCCCCTTACCAGTAATCCTTAAAAAAAAAAAAAAAAAAAAA